ATAAAGTTGGTTGCAGATCTCACCGAGTTGTGCTCAAAGGGAGGATTTCGACTGCTCAAATGGACTAGTAACAGTCGGGTTGTATTGTCGTCCATTCCTGAAGAAAAGCGATCCAGAACAACCAGGCAGCTGCACCTGGAACAAGAGCAGCTACCCATGGAGATGGCACTTGGACTGAATTGGTGTGCTGAAAGCGACACTTTTACATTTAAACCTGCAGTGGAAAGACGGCCACATACTAGACGCGGCATTCTATCAATTGTTGGTTCCATATATGACCCATTGGGTTTTTTATCTCCTTTCACCTTGCTGCCAAAGTTGCTGTTGCAAGAAATGTGCCGAAGAAACTTGTCTTGGGATGAGCCTATACCACAGACACTTCTACAACAATGGACCGGATGGCTGTCGGACTTGGAGAAGGTGGTGAAGCTCAAGGTGAGCCGCTGTATCAAGCCAAGGGGCTTTGGAAGATCTGCCAGTGCACAGCTACATCATTTTGCGGATGCTAGCAGCTATGGTTATGGCACAGTGTCCTACCTAAGGCTGGTGAGTCAAGAGGAGCGAGTGCATGTTGCCTTTATGTTGGGCAAAGCCAGGGTTGCGCCATTAAAACAGACAACTATCCCTCGTCTTGAGCTCACGGCTGCAGTGTTGGCTGTTAAGGTCGATAGAATGTTGAAGAAGGAGTTGTTGCTGCAATTGGAGGAGTCCCACTTCTGGACAGACAGTCAGACTGTGTTGAAATACATCAACAATGAAACGAAACGCTTTCATACCTTTGTTGCTAACAGAGTGGCTGCAATACGGGAAGCAACAAGTCTCAGCCAGTGGAAGTATATCAGCTCCAAGAACAATCCCGCTGATGAAGCCTCCAGGGGTCTGAGTGTGGATAACTTTCTTGCCTGCAAGAGGTGGTTGGAGGGTCCTGACTTTCTCCAAAGAACGGAAAAGGATTGGCCAAGACCTTTGGAGCCGCAGTCCATCTCTTTAGACGACCCAGAGGTCAAAAGGGACGTCCTGGTAAACGTGATTACGTACACAGAAGATGCGACCTCTAAGCTCATGACTTACTTTTCTGACTGGTCTAAACTTAAAGTCTCTGTGGCTTGGTACTTAAGGCTCAAATCTATTCTTTTGGAGCTGAGCAGAGAAAGGAAGTTGATTCTGGCTTCTTTAGATCCTACTGGCTCATCTTTGGAGGAGAGGATGAGAGAGGTTAGAGGAGCAATTGGTAAACAACCACTTTCTGTGAGTGAGCTCTCTAAAGCCGAAGCTGCTATTATACATTTCAGTCAGCAAGTAACATTTCAGGAAGAAATCTCAATGTTGAAAAGTGGAGCATCGTTTGTGAAGAAAACAAGCAACATTTACAAATTAGATCCAGTGCTCAGTGACGATTTGTTGAGAGTAGGTGGAAGACTTGGCCGTGCAGCTTTGCCTGAAGAGCTCAAGCATCCTGCGATTCTTTGTAAGGGGCAACATATATCTAGTCTCATTTTGCGGTCCATACATCAACAGCTTGGGCATGCTGGACGGAACCATATGCTCTCGACTTTGCGGCGCAAGTATTGGGTTACCAACGCCAACTCTGCTTGCCGGAGAATAATATCTGAGTGTGTGGTCTGTAGAAGACATCGTGGACAGCCAAGTGAGCAGAAGATGGCTGATCTGCCCAGTGAAAGAATAAGTCCAGATCTGCCTCCCTTTACCAACGTCGGGGTGGATTATTTCGGACCCATTGAAGTCAAGAGAGGGCGTGCTATGGCCAAAAGATATGGGGTCATTTTCACCTGTATGGCCAGTAGAGCTGTGCATTTGGAGGTTGCTTACACTCTGACCACGGATTCTTGTGTCAATGCTATTAGGAGATTCATTTGTCGAAGAGGTCAGATCTGCAGTCTACGATCAGACAATGGTACCAACTTTGTTGGTGCAGAGCGAGAGTTAAGAGAAGCTTTAGCAGCCATTGATTACAGCAAGATTCATGGCGCTCTCATAAAAAGGGGCATCAATTGGATTTTTAACACCCCGGCTGCATCACATCATGGCGGCGTTTGGGAGCGACTCATTAAGATAGTCAAGCGAGTTCTGTATTCTGTTCTGCAGCAACAGTCTTTGGATGACGAAAGCTTCCATACCATTCTGTGCGAGGTGGAAGCTATTCTGAATGACCGTCCGATAACCAAGGTGTCTGACGATGTTAACGACTTGGAAGCACTCACACCTAACCACATTCTTTTGCTAAAAGGAAAACCTGTTCTTGCCCCTGGAATCTTTCAAGCGAATGATCTTTACATTAGAAGACGATGGAGACAAGTCCAGTATCTTTCAGATCTGTTCTGGAAAAGGTGGATAAGGGAGTACCTGCCATTGTTACAGGAACGTCAAAAGTGGGCGAGGCCGCAAAGAAGTTTTGTAATGGGAGACATTGTCATCATTATGGATCACACTGCTCCGCGTGGATCATGGATTATGGGAAGAGTGACAAAGACTTACCCAGACAAGAAGGGCTTTGTACGTGCCGTGCAGTTGAAGACTAAGACAGGGCAGTTGGAGCGCCCTATTTCCAAGCTTTTCCTGTTGCAAGAAGCTGTGTAATGGTCATGACCCAACGTTGGTTAACATCCTATCCAGAAGAAAGAAGATCTGAAGACTTTTTGTGTGTCTCCCTGTTTTTGCAGTTTAATTGGTCACACTTTCCCAATTAGGGGCCGGTGTGTGGGAGCCATTAGTTATTGTTGATGTTGTGGTGGTTGTCTACACTAGAGGGCAGTGTGCTTGTGCTACAGTATCCAAGTTCACGGTGGCACAGGCGCGCCAGCTAATTAATACACAGGTGTAGCGGGTGGGGAATTATGCTAGGGTGGCGGGGAGATCACACGGTTTTTACCGCTGGCACGCCACAGCTAGATTAGTCCTCACGTTTGCATATACTTTGAACTCTGTAAACTATTTTTCTATTAAATGGGAACACCACCCAAAGACGCTAAACGTTGTGGACTTTAAATTCATCCGAAGTGGACAAATAGCGCGTCAAAAACAGGATCTAGCCCTCACCCTGCTGAGTGTCTGATTAATGTTAAGACAGTCACTACACAGTCCATTAATGAAAGACAACGACTCTTATACATATAAAATATCAACACACAATAAACGTATTAGTGTTCCATTTATAAGAAACAACTTATCTGACAGATCTTCATTCATCCCTTCATTCGGGATGCATGTGTTTAAAGGGATAGTTCACTTTGAAATTAATTTTTGGTATGTTTTAGCTTTCCTCAAGGGCATCCAAGATGTCTTTGTTTCCGCAGTAGTTTCAATTTTGATATTTTTAGGTCAAACCGTTTGTGTCTATCAGTCATATAATGCAGGTCTATGGTCACCACCTCAAAGAGCATGCACAGAGAAGTCCAGATTAAACATGATTCAATGACTCTTAAATGTAATTACACATTGATGGCCTAAGACACGGAACGAGCGGTTTGTGTGAGAAAACGAAGAGTATTTATATTGTTTTTACCTCTTTTAACCACAACTACGTCCCAAGTGATCTGAGGGTGCAGGCGCTTTGTGGCTGTGGTTACAAAAGGTAAAAACTATATAAATACTGTTCGTTTTCTCACACAAACCGCTCGTTTCGTGTCTTAGGCCATCAATGTGTACTTACAATTACGAGTCATTAAATCATGTTTAATTTGGACTTCTCTGTGCATGCTCTTTGAGGTGGTGACCATAGACCTCCATTATATGACTGACAGACACAAACGGTTTGACCTAAAAATATCAAAATTGAAACTACTGCTGAAACAAAGACACCTACATCTTGGATGCCCTTGAGGTAAGCTAAAACATATCAAAAATGTATTTCAAAGTGAACTATCCCTTTAAGTTAAAAATATATCACGCCTTTCGTTGCAGGAGGCGGTCCACTCAAGCTCTAATCCCATGAATTTGAGCATATTGACAGCATGTCCCGCAGAATTAAAATGCCTTGCGACTGATGTTTTTCTGAATTAATGAGTTAATTTTTCATGAGAAAAAAAGTTTTTTGCTCTGTTTTTCTGAATTAATGAGTTAATTTTTCATGAGAAAATTTATTTTTGCTGTTTTTCTGAATTAACTCATTAATTCAGAAAAACAGAGCAAAAAAAAAAATCCATTAAAAATTAACTCATTAATTCAGAAAAACAGAGCAAAAAATGTTTCTCATGAAAAATTAACTCGTTAATTCAGAAAAACAGAGCAAAAAAAATTTTTCTCATGAAAAATTAACTCATTAATTCAGAAAAATAGAGCAAAAAAAATTTTCTCATGAAAAATTAACTCGTTAATTCCGAAAAACAGAGCAAAATTTGCTTTTTCTCATGAAAAATTAACTCATTAATTCAGAAAAACAGAGCAAAAAAAAAATCCATTAAAAATTAACTCATTAATTCAGAAAAACAGAGCAAAAAATGTTTCTCATGAAAAATTAACTCGTTAATTCAGAAAAACAGAGCAAAAAAAATTTTTCTCATGAAAAATTAACTCATTAATTCAGAAAAATAGAGCAAAAAAATTTTCTCATGAAAAATTAACTCGTTAATTCCGAAAAACAGAGCAAAATTTGCTTTTTCTCATGAAAAATTAACTCATTAATTCAGAAAAACAGAGCAAATTTTTTTTCTCATGAAAAATTAACTCGTTAATTCAGAAAAACAGAGTAGATTTTTTTTTCTTCAAGTGAATGCAATACGCCTCCGTAAGAAACTGTCTGATTACTGTTGTTCTTCTAAATAGCAGAAAATCGGCTGAATGCATTCGAAAACAGAAAAACTCAACAGTTGGGGAATTGTAAAATGAGTATCCCTTTAAATAAGGTCTTTTTTTATCAGACGTGTCTGCTAATGTACTGGCACTCTCGGTCAATGAGACTGAGTCTCTCCACTTCCGCTCTGTTTAACCTCAGCTTGTGTGTTAAAGTTTGTGTGAGCCTGTGTTGTCTGTTGTGTTTGCAGAGGAGTTGACCTGTGATCCGGCGGGTGATTTCCGCTGTGATAACCACCAGTGTATTCCCCTTCGCTGGCGCTGCGACGGAGACAATGACTGCGGCGACGGATCGGATGAACACAACTGCAGTGAGTGGCAGCACTGACCTCTCCTGTTCGGTCAGATCAATATAAAAACAGTAGGGATAGTTTGATTGGTTAAAAAGGGATACTTTACCCAAAATCATTATTTACTCACCCTTGTGTGGTTCAGTGGAATACAAAAGTTGATGGATAATTAAAAGAAAATCCAAAGTGCACATCCAAAGACTTAAACAGTCAAACACACAAAATAATGTCAAAATGGCGAGTCACGTAAACAGAGTCAGTTATGTTTTAAATGAACAGAAAATGCATAATGGATGCATGTGTCAGGTCTTAAAGTGACAGCAGCCTAATATACCTGCTGGCAAATTATGAGATAATATTAAAAATACCTATATGGCAGTTTTCCCCATGGTATCGATGTTAAAATTGTGGCCTTTGAAAATTTTGAGTGGGTAGTAATTTTGGAAAACTTGTAGCCACTCTCTGATGAGCAAACAAGTTAATGTCAAGTCCTGCTTACCAGAGAAACCGTAACGGTAAAGACAAAGAAGAAAAGATTTGATGGGAACAAATTGGAAAGACAGAAAGCGTGGAGGAGACGGCTTGATGGCAGACAAGGTGCTTTGAGGTGTGAAAGGTTGACAAATGGTCTGCGCTAAACCTTAGAGCTGCATGTTGGACGAAGCGATGATTTTTTCAGCACTTTCTCCTCCCTGCAGAAGAGCTGCGGGGGTGGTGAACGTGGGTCATTCCCCTGATGAATTTAGCTATGAACTCACCTCCGAAAAATGGTCCTCTTGCTGAAGGGCAAGCCGTATGTAATCCTGAGACAGTGAAACACAGCCTAATCATCGCCCTCATCTGTGTCAGAGGCTTGCTGTGCTTTACTTAAATGCTTTATGTCGTGTTTCTGCTGCATTTTGGCCTTATAAGCACTTTGTGAAACATTGCTGTTCACTAGACGCACTATATTATTGCGTTATGCCTAAACTATCCTTTTTTTGAAATTCCAGATCTTGGGCCATTGCGCCATTTCCCAAGCTAACAACTTCTTTAAACGTTATGAAAACATAATTTCTGAACGTTCTAGATGTCCCCCTGTAGTCAATAATATTATCCCTTAAATCTCGTCTTTGATCACCAAAATTATTTGAACGTTTGTTCCTTATAAAAATAGCTTGAATGTCACTTTACACACTTGCCTCATTAAGTATACACGGTTCTATGAATATTCAAATTGGCCCCTGCCTCCACTCACTCACGCCAGCTCAGAGATCCACTCGTTGACGATCACACATTGTCGTGATTGGCTACACGGTAGTTTGTGACGTCAGAAACACCAGCTTTGGTTCACTGCGGATTTAAAGGGACACTCCACCCATTTGCATTAAGCTTTCCATTGTTACACTCTAAAAAACGCTGGGTTGTTTTAACCTAAATTTGGGTCAAATATGGACAAACCCAAATTGATTTGTTGGTTTAAAAGTGTCATTTAAAATTTTAACCTAACTTCAACTTTCACTTTCAACTGTACATTTTTTAATGACCTTTTTAACCCAACATTTGGGTTTGTTCATATTTGACCCAACATTTGGGTTGAAACAACCCAGCATTTTTTAGAGTGTAGAAACCCAGTTATACTATTGAATGGTCGTGCCACACTCATTTTCCCCTGAGATGAGAGAAATCCGTTATTTACCTTTTTCACTTCCTCCCACAATGACGCAAAAATCATCATTTTACGTCATTGTCAGTAGGAAGTGTAAGAGCGGGGGATTTCTGTAAAGACTACAAGCACTAGATCCCACCCCTTCAAACCCGCCCATAGGGGGTTGGGCCTAAAGCGCTAACAGACCAATCACAGATCAGTGCCAGTGCGTTTGATTTCACCGGCAGAAACTTTTTGAAAATAAGGACGAAGGTACTGAATACGCAGACGGATGCATTATGAAGGATTGGGATTACACGTAGTGTCAGCCATCTTTTTTTGGAAGCTAAGCTAGCAGGTTCTTGTTCTGTGGAGAAAGCTGAGTAGTAGGGGTTACCATCCTCTTTTTCCCGGACATGTCCGGCCGCCGCTGTCCGGGATTCAGCTTTTGCTTTCTGCAGTCGCCATTCATTGTTTACATGCACAGCTTTTGTTTCAATCTAACTGAATTCATTCCGATTGGTGAATCTGAATGTAGTGTTTACATGAACGCTAAACAAGTGATCGGTTGATGTGCGTTTTAACATTGCTAAGAAAATTCCCGCTCCTCCGTGAGAGATACGAGACCGGTGCGTCTCACAGGTGTCGCTCATCGGTAATCACCCCACCGGCCTTGCGCCGTTCTCCCGCGGCCCTCACTCGTCCCGCTCGCTATAGCAAACATGATGAATGGCGACTGTAAAACGCAAAAGCCAAATCCCGGACATTTTGGGCGCTCTCGAAATCCCGGACAGACTTATCACGGATACTCACTAGTAGCCTAGACTTGTTGTTTAACTACTGCGCTCTGTTACCGGTAGGCGTGGCCTCCTAGGGCAGCGAAGCAAGTGCATTCTGGGAGTTGTTGTCTTTCATCCACATAAGCCAAAAATAAATTTTCTGGCTTTTCTCAGTCTAGAAAGCTCCAAATTAAAAAATAATTTCACATTTCTTCTACATAAATGACCCATTTTAAATAAATTTTTCCAGAGGTGAAGGATCCCTTTAAAGAGAAACGACTCAGCAATGGTGTCAACTTATGAATTTGCACTTGGTTTGTCTTAAAGCAGATTAAAAACACCACAAAGACAAATAAACAGCATTAAAAGCTTGATTTTCACTTTTTTCTCGGTTATACGAATGTTAAAGGATCATTCTATTTCATCATTTTGAAAAACATTATGGGAGCATTACTTTTGAATGTTCTCTGGCACAATTAGTACCATTTCAATGCACAAAATTGTTGTTTTGTTTGTTCAATAATAATGTTACCACAGTTAAGAAGGTTTTAAGCATTCTCCTTTTCTTCATGCTTAAGAACGCCCCTTACTTGTGGTAAATCACTGTGACCAACAGCCGCTTGGGCCTTATTGCTTTATTGTCCCGTCTGCCTTTTATGTATGTTCATGTGTGTCTGATTGACACGCTTCTAATGCGTCCACAGCCCCTCGTCCGTGCACTGAGAGCGAGTACCGCTGCGACAACCTGCACTGCATTCCTGACCGCTGGGTGTGCGACCATGACAACGACTGCGAGGACAACTCTGACGAGAGAGACTGTGGTGAGTGAAAGAAAAGAAGAGACAGCAGAAAGGAAAGGCCATCAAAAGACAGATGGAGAGAGAAAGAGTGTGGCCGTGGCACTAGCCACCATGTTCAACATCATAATACTGGCTTTTTATTGCAGATTGATCCTCAGTGGGTGATATCTCAATGCATTTGTGCGCCTGGATACCTTGTGAATGACTTACAGGAAGTGTGCATAATTCATTCTCCATGGAGGATTGAGAGAGTTTGGCTTTATTCTTTGTGGATGAATGTGTTTCAGAGCTGCGGACCTGTCACCCGGGTTACTTCCAGTGCAGTAGTGGCCACTGCATCTCTGAGCGCTTCAAATGTGACGGCAACGCCGACTGTCTCGACTTCACCGATGAAAGCTCCTGTCGTGAGTGTGCCGTGTTATTTTTATCTATTTTAATTCTGAAAATGCACCTGAGAACTTATATTGTAGCGCCCTCTAGAGTCCAAAAGGGTTGTGCATCTGTAACTGTTCCCATTGGTTTGGGAACTAGGGAATATCTTGGCCTTGGAAACTCATGGAAATTTTACACATTGATTAAAGATTACAAAGACAAACTTACACGGATGAGTCATTCACAATAATATCAGCAACCTGTTGAGCAGCATTCCTGTAGCTTAAACACTAGCAATGCCAAAGTCCTGGGTTTAGTCCAACTGAAGTCAAGTCACCTTATTAACATCAAATATAAGCCACATTAAAATTCTGTTGTGAAGAAATCTAAAAAGTCAATAGTGTAATTATTCAGCTCAAGTCCTGTGTTGGTTCAGTTTAGTTCGATCATTATGAAATGAGTTTAATTTAGCTCTAAGTAGCACTACAGAAGACAAAAGTTTAGTTATTCAGCTCTTTGAATAATATTATTGAATATTTAAGTGTCTTTTCTTTTAAACCCCAACTGAGAAAGCCCGAGACGACTGTGACACGGAACCCAAATCAAAAGATGATTGTTTGAATGCAATGTTAGATGCTTTCATATGCCAAATGCTAAATGTATTATGGAAATTTATGTTGTGTGTGTGTGTGTGTGTGTGTGTGTGTGTGTGTGTGTGTGTCCACATTTCAGCCGCACGCTACCCGAACAGCACCTACTGTCCACCCTTCCTGTTTGAGTGTAGGAACCACGTGTGTGTGCAGCAGCACTGGATATGTGACGGAGATAATGACTGTGGGGATAATTCAGATGAGGAACTACATCTCTGCTGTGAGAAACACATCTATCTATCTATCCATCCAATCAAGCACATTCATCCATCCATCCATCCATCCATCCATCCAATCAATCACATTCATCCATCCATCCATCCATCCATCCAATCGATCACATCCATCCAATCGATCACATCCATCCATCCAATCAATCACATTCATCCATCCAATCGATCACATCCATCCATCCAATCAATCACATTCATCCATCCATCCATCCATCCAATCGATCACATCCATCTATCCAACCATTCAATCGATCACATCTATCCATCCATCCAATCGATCACATCCATCCATCCAGTCGATTCCATCCAATTGATCACATCCATCCATCCAGTCGATTACATCATCCATCCATCCAATCAATCACATTCATCCATCCATCGATCAATCCATCACATCCATCTATCCAACCGTTCAATCGATCACATCCATCCATCCAGTCGATTACATCATCCATGCATCCATCCTCCAATCGATCACATTTATCCATCCAATCAATCACATCCATCCAATCGATCACATCCATCCATCAAATCAATCACATCCATCCAATCGATCACATCCATCCAATCGATCACATCCATCCTCCAATCGATCACATTTATCCATCCAATCGATCACATCCATCCAATCGATCACATCCATCCTCCAATCGATCACATTTATCCATCCAATCAATCACATCCATCCAATCGATCACATCCATCCATCAAATCAATCACATCCATCCAATCGATCACATCCATCCAATCGATCACATCCATCCTCCAATCGATCACATTTATCCATCCAATCGATCACATCCATCCAATCAATCACATCCATCCAATCGATCACATCCATCCATCCAATCGATCACATCCATCCAATCGATCACATCCATCCATCCAATCGATCACATCCATCCATCGATCCATCCAATCGATCACATCCATCTATCCATCCGTTCAATCGATTACATCATCCATCCATCCATCCAATCGATCACATCCATCCTCCAATCGATCACATCCATCCTCCAATCGATCACATCCATCCTCCAATCGATCACATCCATCCTCCAATCGATCACATCCATCCTCCAATCGATCACATCCATCCATCCATCCATCCAATCGATCACATCCATCCATCCAATCGATCACATCCATCCATCCATCTAATGAAGCATCACATCCATGCAATCGATCACATCCATACATCCATCCAAATGATGACATCCAATCACATCCATCCAATTGATCACATCCACCCATCCATCCAATCAATCAATCACATCCATCCAATCGATCACATCCATCCATCCAATCGATCACATCCATCTATGCTATGTAAACCTTGAAAAGTGCATAAAGCCTATCCAACCAGTATATTTTTAGTATAATTTGCAAGTATATCAGCTATATAACCCAATAAAAGTCAACCTTTGGCATTTTAAATGTAGAACAGTTTTAGCACGCACAAACGTCACGTGTCTTGTCTCCTCAGTGGACATCTCATGTGATCCTCCATTCCGGTTCCGTTGTGATAACACGCGCTGCATCTACAGTCACGAGCTCTGCAATTCTATAGATGACTGCGGTGATGGGACCGATGAGAGGGCGGAGCATTGTGAGTGATGCTCAATCAACAGATTTTCACATTACACAGACTAGCATTTATGATGCCGACTATATGTAATATGTACCTGTTTATACCTTTTTAATTCCTAAAATTCTATTGAAACTGTGGCGTGTTTTGTGTGAATGATTGCTCAGGTGTGACTCCCACACACGGACCCTGCTCTGCAGATGAGTATAAATGTGGAAATGGTCACTGCATTCCTCTGCAGTACGCCTGCGACGACTATGACGACTGTGAAGACCAGACCGATGAGCTCGGCTGCTGTGAGTTTTGTTCATTTACTCACCCTTATGTTCTTCTTTCTTGCATGAACAAAACCGGATGATGATTTCTACTAACAAACTCCAAAAAGGACAAAAAATATAGTTTTTGTAACATTTCTTTATCTCTCTTTGTTAGACCATGGCCATGCGCGCTCATGCAGTGAGAATCTGTGTGAGCATAACTGTACAGATTTGTCGACCGGAGGCTTCATTTGCTCTTGTAGATCTGGATATAAACCTAACCCGGAGGATAAGAACACCTGCGATGGTTGGTGATGTCATCTTAATACTTTCTTTATTAGAAGACCTCAATATTTACAATAAAACAGGCTTATATAGAGGCATTCCTGAAGCCAGCCAGGACAACGGGAACTCCTGCAGGGGTTTCAGCGACTGATCTGTTTTAAAACTCAAATCACAATTCCTTTTTTTATACTCTGTCCTTTTCATGGAATCTTTTCTGTCTGGATGGGAGCAACATAAGAAGTTTATGTATACTTATATATATATATATATATATATATATATAGTATATTACATTCACTTGAGGAAACAAAATCTACTCTGTTTTTCTGAATTAACGAGTTAATTATCTGATAATTACGAGATCATTTTTCATGGGAAAAAAGTTTTTCCTCTGTTTTTCTGAATTAACGAGTTAATTATCTCAGAATTATGAGATCATTTTTCATGGAAAAAAAAAAAACGTTTTTGTTCTGTTTTTCTGAATTTCTGAGTTTTTGAGATAATCAAGTCATAAATTCAGAAAAACAGAGCAAAACTTTTTTTCCATGAAAAATTATCTTGTAATTCTGAGATAATTAACTCGTTAATTCAGAAAAACAGAGTAGATTTTTTTATTCAAATGAATGCAATACGCTTCCTTCCGTAGCAAAAATTTAATATTTTTGCTTTTTTTTTCACACAACCATCACCAAAACTCTGTGTAGCTACAGGCCAATTTGCACGTTTACATACTTTTTTCAAAACTTAATTTCAAAACCTAACAATACAAAAACACAAGTTAAATAAATAATTAATAAATCATTTATTTAACTGTAATTTGGTGCTTTTGTTCAGTGATACTATACTGAAATATATTCCAAAGCTAAAACAATTAGATGTAGCTGAACACTTACACAGGTGTTACAATTTTATTTCTCGCTTTTTCAATTTCACTACCATCTACACAAAAGGGAAACACTTAAATAATTTCCTACTGTGACATAAACATGGACCACATAACATGCAATGCAGTGAATTTGAAACAGTAGAGAACACTTCTTGTTTTGTAAAGGTATTTTAACTACATAAGAAAACCTATGCTACCTGTTGTTAGCACTTAGCAGGTCATTGTTTTATAGTAGTATAATAGTAATATATAGTAAAGTGTGTTTGCTGGGTGACAACCTTTGCCAGTGTTATGGAAGAATGAGTTGATTTGAGACGGAAATGAGGTGTTTTGGTAGTTTTATTATGAATATGAATTGAACTGCTGAAAGTTAGTTAGGAGAACTGTGTGAAAGGTCTTGAGAAATGTGGAAAGGTCTTGAGAAATGTGTCCCAGCGATTGTTAAAAAAAAAAAAAAAACATTGAATGTGTAATGTGAAGTGTTTTGTCCCCGTCTGCAGACGTAAATGAGTGTGAGATTTACGGGACGTGCCCGCAGCAGTGCAGGAACACTAAAGGCACTTATGAGTGTTTCTGCGCTGAAGGCTTTCGATCGGTGGGAGAGCAGCCAGGAGTCGAATGCGCCGCTGAGGGTGAGGCCTGCAGTTTTATTATTTTTCTCTGGATTTATTTATCCTCTTTTTTACCTTCTATGGCCTCTTATACCGTTATTCTGCCAGGGGCTCTTTCTAATCCTTTCGATATCTGCATATTTCACCTTTGTCATTTGTAGCATTCAATGCATTTGTTTATAAAACCTAGTGAACTAGTAAAAGTGTTGCCAGATTGGAAATATCCAAGTATCGTACCAGACGCTCAAAATGATCCTATTTGGAAGAAAATTATCGTACACAAGCCAAACTGTTGAGAGGGGGGTCAAAACTATCGTACAAATACGATAATTATCGTACGTCTGGCAACACTGCCTAGTAACAATCACATCTTCCAAAATCTGAAAAATAAATAAAAAGTGCGCTGTCTGTTTATTTCAATAACATTTACAAATTTTGTGTCGCTTTAACCCTTATGCTGCATTAGGGACATTTTTGGTCTTTTACAGTTTAATTTCTTTGACCATTTTGGCTGTTTTAATGCAAATGGTATGAAATTTGGCAAAATTGTGACTTTGGATACATGTAAAAAATGTGATCCCATTTTGCAAAATATGTATAACACACACTGTGTAGATCAAATAGTAACACTCAGCACCATAAAGACCAAAAATGGCCCATTGAAACCCATTAAAACGTTGTTTAAATCTGAGGCTGTCAGTAATACATGAAACATGATTTTTGCACAAACATCCTTTCATTTTGAAGCAAAAGCATTATATTTGCGTTATATAGTGTATTCCACCAGATGACGTCACTACATATTTATTCCCTATGGGTGGAAATGCACCTTATTTTAGGCAATAGGCAATGTTTAATAGGTGGCCATTTTTGGTCTCTAACGCGCTAAGTGGGATTTTTTGCAAAGTGGGACTGTGATAATCCAAATCTAAAGTTTTCTCTTTGCATTTAGTTTATTGAAAATAATTGAATTTTTGTGTTTTTTCCTCTTATACAAATCGATGGTTTCGCAAACAAAACTGGTAATTAAAGGGTTAAAATCCTGAAATTGAATACATTTTTGGTAGTTATGATGAGGACTGATGCTGGTTAAAAGATTTAACTTGGTAAAAGTGGAAAATAATAATAATATATAATATTTTAGGCAATGTTTAATATGTGGCCATTTTTGGTCCTTAATGCACTCAACGGTGTTAAAAATCTAATGCAGCACAAGGGTTAAAGAGCCTATATTTAGCCTGATGGCTAAGACACACTATTTTGTTATTGTAGCCTTTTTTTGTTATTGTAATCTTTATACCCTCCTGAGGCCCAGAAGGTTTATTTCTTCTTCATGTAATCACATTGGTAAGAGCATAAGAAACAAATGAAAAAAAAAAGATATTTTATTCATATGTTATGCTATGACCTCTGTAGTGGACACCAGGACTCGATTGTTTAAAAAATAAAAATGACATGAAATTATCTATAGGCAAAAATAATGGCAATATTTGAAAATCGATAATTATTATTAATAATATTTTTTTAAATTACATTGATATCTAAATTTATGTCAACCTAGACTTTCAAACATCAAAATGTATTTTATTAATATGCATTTGTGTACAAAATGACATATAAACATTGTTTCTTATTGTTTTTTGCCTGGAAACTCTTCCAACACACTTGCGTGTCACGTGAAAAATAGGCGTCGGTTCTATTTCTAGCATACACGCGTTTTCCGCGCGGCTCTAACCTGTTAACACGAGAGCTGAAATAAAAACGGACAAAAGGGATACTCCACTTTTTTGGGAAATAGGCTCATTTTACAACTGCCCCAGAGGTAAACAGTTGAGTTTTACCGTTTCCGAATGTATTCAGTCGATTTTCTGATATTTAGAAGAATATCAGTAACCAGACAGTCTCTGGTCTCATTGACTTCCATAGTATACTATGGAAGGAAATCGACTACAGAAACAGTTGGGTAAAGCCCAACTGTTTAACTCTGGGGGAGTGGTTAAATGAGCCTATTTCCAAAAAAAAGTGGAGTATCCCTTTAAGGTGCAGTCACATTAGCAAAAAATGTTGCTACGTTTTTTAGCCAAAATGGTCAATCGTCTATTTTCAATCCACCAAATTATTAATGTAAGAGCGGGTGTGGTCATTTGTAACTTGAATGTGTCTGGCTTCCAGTGTCATTCGTTTCCAGTTATTTTAGCTGTACAAAAACAATACGTTATACTGCTTGATATTGCAAACTGGTATACAATTTTAAATAATTATCGTAATCTGGGAAAAAAAACCAGACAACTTCCGGCAAATTTAGATTTCCTCGGAAAGTTAGTCTGGCAAAGAGCTCATTCAAGCTCATTTCCAATCCGTCGAAATCGCGGCACCAATCAGAAACGTTGGGGCGGGCTTTACACGATAACGACAGCGCTGGGATTTTGAAGCAGATTTTGTAGCCTACATTACAAAGATGGATGCCGCCGTCGAACATCACTCGCTCGAATCAGCTATCTGTTTTAAGCGATTTGAACGTTTCCTTTTTGTTAAAAACCGAGCAAAGAACAACACTCGGAGTGCATACGTCACCACATCCATCGCTCTGATTGGTTTTAAGTCTATCCGCGACGTCCATTGGTGACGCCCCTCTGGTAAGGATTTGTCTATGATGCTTTTCCAGACCATAAACTGAGAATGGTCTGGTTTTAACCAGGCTAAAACAGACAGTCTGTGATGTATCCCTTTCTCACTCTCCTGTCGTTTCTTTTGTTTTCTGCTTCTTTTATCCTCAGGAAATCCTCCCGTGCTGTTATTGCCTGATAATGTGCGCATCCGTCGCTTTAACCTCTCGTCTGCACAGTACTCTGATTACCTGGATAATGCAGAGCACATTCAGGCACTGGACTACCTGTGGGACCCAGAAGGCCTCGGTCTCAGTAAGGCACTCTTCATGTGATATCCCACCAATATCACTTATGTTTTGATGCAGATGCAGCATGAGGAAGCATAATTTACGGCACAATATAACAGGAATACAATTATTCCTCTATAGAGGAATACACTTTTTGTTTTTTTTCCAAATTTGCTTCAAGTTAACATTGCGAATCATCTCGGTGCTTATTAGTTTGTGACTTGAAATCTTTATTGAAGAATGTCCATACCATACCGTCCTAAGTTCCTGAACACATGTTGCATCTTCTTGTTTCTATAATCAGGTTTATGAATGCAAACTGAAGCATAATTGTGATGAAACTGATTTTCAGGTATAGTGTACTGGACGGTGTTGGGACGAGGCTCTGAGTTCGGCTCGATCAAGAGGGCATATATGACCACGTTTGATGACCATGGGAATAATCCTGTAAAGGAGGTGGACCTGGACCTCAGATACATCTCCAGTCCTGATGGCATCGCTGTGGACTGGATTGGACGGTTTGTGCACTGCTTTTCTAAACTTTACTTTACTTGAGGTCTGATGCAAACAGTTCCAGAAAAATACATATCTATCTGCTATGCTTTTTGTCTTTTCTGTTATATATAGCCATATTTACTGGACGGATGCTGGGACTAATAGAATCGAAGTGGCTAAACTGGATGGACGTTACAGAAAGTGGTTAATTCACTCTGATCTTGATCAACCGGCTGCTATTGTGGTCAACCCTGGTCTAGGGTAAGAACATGAATATATAACTGCTCCCTTGGGATTGAAAAGAGATGCATGGTCATGAAAATCCTGTCCTCCAAAAAATGATTTTCTCACGTTGTATTTTTGTCCTTTTTCCAGTACAACTATTTCAACAGTCTTAAATCAAGATACATTTACTTGAGATGCAAAATGACATAAGTTTCTGAAAAACTTATTAAAATGAATTGATTTATGCTTAAAATAAGAACAAATATCTGCCAATGGGATATGAAAAATAAAAGCTTAATTCAAAGGGAAAAATACTTTTTATTAGGGCTGCCAAACAATTAATCGCATCCAAAATAAAAGTTTGTGTTTACATAATATATGAGGGTGCACTGTGTATAATTATTTTATATATATATAAATACACACACATGTTTGTATATATTTAAGAAATATTTTCATGCATATACTGTATATAGATTTATATATATAATTTAATGTTGTGTAGTATAAATATTAATGATATGTAAATATAAATATTTTATATATAAATAATATTTTTTTCTTAAATATACGTACATGCATGTGTGTGTATTTATATATATACAAAATAATTATACACAGTGCACCCACATATATTATATAAACACAAACTTTTATTTTGGATGCGATTAATCGTTTGACAGCCCTACTTTTTATCTTATGTTACGTTTATATCTCATGTAAATGTCTTAAATCTTGATTTAAGAATTTTTTTTTTATATTTATACGGAAAACAAGACAAAAATACTGATGGAAAAACTTTTTTTGCACTGTGGAAATATTTGGCAATTTTAAAATTGCGATTTTCAGGTCTGGAGAAGCCATGGTAATTATTAGGGATGCACCGATACCGATACCGGTATCTGGTATCGGCCTCGATACCACATTTTCTAAAGTACTCGTACTCGTTAAAAGTCCCCCGATACCGGGGACCGATACCATGTTCTGAGAAATGGGTTAATCACAGGCGCCGAGTGCCCACCCCCAGGCTCCGGCTGCAGCTCAGAGCGGGGAGATGGGGAGACATGTCAGCCGTGTGGAACAGTGATGCGCGGGTCAATGTAAACAACCCGCACACTACCAACGTTTTCAACTACCCGCCCGCTACTCGGACCGCAAAAAAAGTAAGAAAATATTGTACCCGATCCCTCTTCCTGACCGTATTTTTTAAAAGTAATACATGCTCATCGTAGCGTCATTGGGCCATAAACTTGTAACAACACAGCATCGCAAGAAGACGTAGCCTACATATAACAAAGCCAGCACTTTGGTCATCATCTTTCATTATTTCGGTAAATGTCTCCCACACTTACTCTTTCTATTTGTGTATTTGCGGAGCTTCCACTCCCCAGCCTTTTCTCTTGCCGCCTCCATCTCTCTGCAGACTAGTGATCATAGACATGGCCGGTTCGTGAACGAATCGGTTCTTTTTAATGAACCAGTCGAACCAGTACGCTAAATCGAACTGAATCATTCGCATCAGTTCACGTCTTGCGTCAGTGCTGATCCACAAGTTACTACAGTTACTCACTTTCAGACATGCCTGACAGTCCCTCCGAGTTGAAATAAACCAATATCCCGAATTATATTTTACTCCAGTAACTCTAACAGTTCACTGAACTGAAACATGTTGTTGATACTGCTGATACTGCGCATCCGCGTATAGTAACGAACGCAGAGGTACAGCGGTTCTCGGATCACACCAGTACAGAACTGAGAACTGTTTAGACTGAGCTTGTGTGTCATCTTCGTGCCAGTTATTCAGCCAATAAATAAATTCGCCTATATATTTCATAGAAAATTCTATCTAGTACTATATAAATACAAAGGTTTAATTGGCATTTTTTTCCCAAACGACCTGACCGACCGCGACCCGAATATCATTAAAAATATTTTTGGATGACCCGTAACTGCGGGTAACCGCGGGTGACCGCGGCGCAGGCACCCGCTCATTTTGGATCAACCCGTGCATCACTGGTGTGGAACAATTTCAAAGTGAATGGCTTTGGATTAGGAGAATAAGTTTACTTGTAGTCGCCAAGTTACTTATAGTCAGTTGAATGTCTGTTGGGGGACCAAATAAATAAAGTGTTATCAGATATTACGCTGATCGTACTAATACTCTAGTCTACTAATACTCTAATGACAGTTAGTTGACATGTAATTGAAAAGTTACTTATAGTTAGTAAAGTGGACTATCGAAATAAAGTGTTACCCAAGTAATTTAATCAAGGACCTAAAAACCCGTATATAAAAATATTTAAATCATGTTTTTTTTGTTTTTTTATTAAGTACTCGGTATCGGTATCGGCGAGTACTGAAATGCAAGTACTCGTACTCGTACTCGTTTTCCAAAAAAGTGGTATCGGTGCATCCCTAGTAATTATATAAACAAAAATATCTTTTAAGTTATGTTAAAGACTTTTTTGTGCTGGATATTGCTCATTTGTTGAGCTTATGTAGAGATTTGTGAGTGAATTTTATTTTTGTACCGATTCTTTTCTATAAATAGTCAAATCAGTTCTCAATTTGGAGTGTTTCGTTAGTGAACTGCCTCTGGTTATCTTCGGGGTCTTTTTAACCCACAAATGACTTTTGGTCAAAATTAAAAAAAAAATTTATCTTTGTCCAAATGGTATGAAACTTTCTATGACGCATAACACTGTCTAGATCTGGAATAATATCTGTTTTTATGTTAGCGTGAAAAAATAAAGACACTTGTTATCTTTGGGGTCCCTGGAGACCCTGCATAGTAAATATACAAAATTGATCATCAAAATCAGAAACAACGCAGATCACATAGACAGAAATAAAGTGGAACACTTCCAATGCAAAAAACACCCACAATGCACTCTCTCTCACACACACGGGCATACATTTGTAAGGCTATTATAAAAGTCTTATAATTTGTCAAATAAAATGCAGAATCACCACAAATATAAATTGGTGACACTGACACCACGAAAATGTACACACACACACACACAAATACATTAGTGAGGCTATAAAACTATAGAAACGTTTTTTTTTTTGTGCTGTTTTTATGCAAAAAGCCTATTTAAATCAATATTTATTTATTTATAGAAATTTAAAAGATATCAAAAATACTCCAAAAACTGCACAAATGTTGAGTAAAAACATTAATAAACAGAGTAAAATTACATTTGTGAAATAATATATATACATATTATACTGTTACAAAATTTAATGTTATTGTCTGGGGTCCCTGGAGACCCTAAAGATAATGAGTGTAGAGACAAATGAAGATAATACAAGGGTTGATAAAGTTGGGAGGAAACATTGAAAATGTATTGATCATCACTCTTAAAAAATAAAGGTTCTTATTGTCATTAATTGGTCCCATGAACAACTTTTAATGGCCAATTCACACCGCACCGACAGTACCTCACTTCTCAGACATCAATGGCTCCAACAGACACACTGATCCGACAAATTAACTGTTGCCGTCTGTCAGTTTGAATTGGCTTTAATATCCATGAAACCTCTCCATTTCACAAAACGTTATTTATAGTGGAATTTTTTTGTTTTGTTTTAACCTTTAACCTCCCTTTTGTAACCTTTATTTTTTAAGAGTATAAGCTGTAGGAGCCCTGGTCCGTCAGAACTCATGCTGTGCTGTTGTTGTCATTGATGTATATTATAGGAAGATGTTCTGGACCGACTGGGGCAGAAAGCCCAAGATTGAGGTGGCCTGGATGGATGGGCAGCACAGAGAGGTGCTGTTAGAGGAAGATCTGGGCTGGCCTACTGGTTTAGCTTTGGACTACCTGAATGAAAACCGGATCTACTGGTGTGACTCAAAAGAGAACATCATTGAGTCCATGAAAGTGGATGGAACGGACCGGCAAATTATCATATCAGGAGGTGAGACACTGGAGCACGAGACCGGGACATCTTTTGAATGGCCGTCGTTCACACGTTTGCTTTCATTCCAGACATCGGGCATCCCTACAGTCTGGATGTGTTCGAGGGGCATGTGTACTGGACGACTAAAGAAAAGGGAGAGGTGTGGAAAAAAGATAAGTTTGGGAAAGGAGACAAGGTGAAGGTGTTGACCATAAACCCCTGGTTGACTCAAGTACGCATCTACCAACAGCACCGACATAACCACTCAGGTGAGGCAACAAAGGATTGCATGAGAAATGCGATGCTTATACAAGGCTATAATGAACATATTTCAACAATATATGACCAAAATCCACATTAGATCACAATTAGAAGTTATTGGAAACACTCGTTGGTGGTTTAAAGTGAGTTTTGAGTAAACGCATAGTATTAACTGTATAAATTGTCTTATGTAGTTTGATGAGGCGCAGATGTATTTTGTCAAAAGAGTTATCATAAATAATAAATATCATAAATCATAAACTCCATTTATAACACAATAGAGTTGTCATACATTTTTTGGGGGGAATAATCAGCAGAGGTGTGAAAGGTTTGTCGAGTGTGAACAATAGAAACATGAATGAGGCAATTTGACACACCAGACATAGACAATAGACTGCAAAGGGAGCTTACAGGGGGCAATATAAAAACACACACGAAAATATTTCATAAAATTCATATTTTTAGAGATAACATCTTCAGAATTGAAATGAAGTATGACCGCACTTGTGGCTTTCTACACTACAACCACATCATTTTTTTGATACATTTAAAATATATATTGTTAATATTTTTGTTTTATTATATATCTCCATATTAATAACAGTCAGAGTAATTTTGAATCTTGAACTAGAAACTTTCAAGTGTTGGCTTGCTAATTATGTTGGTTATGTGTCTATTCAGAATGACTTAAATTAAAATTAAAGCTCTTAAATTTAAACACAATTGTGCTGAAGGAGTGTTATTAGCAAATAAATAGCTATCTCATATCCTAGTATGAACAGTAAACGATATATCACAATATAGTCGTTTTTGCTGGAAATTTGAAACATCGTTTCTATTTTATAAATTCATGTGTTAAAGCCTATATTTGCATAATTCATTTAATGAAATACTTAACAAATGAAAGGTACTCATTTATGTTATTATATGAATTTTGATGGAATATTATGATTAAAGGATAGATCATCTGACATTATTTATTGCCTAATTTAAAAGCAAAAAAGACTTCAACATATTACTATAAAATTGATAGTTACGAACCTTAATATAGGCTATATAAAATCACATCTTAGGTGAATTATTCAAAATACTGGTGGGTAAATGATTGCTGGCTTTCTCTTGCAGTGCTCAACCCCTGTCAGGACGTCTGCAGTCACCTGTGTTTGCTGCGGCCGGGTGGATACACCTGTGCCTGTCCCGAGGGAACCACGCTCCTCACCTTCAACAAGAATGAATGTGACGCCGGTAAGAGATGCACAGATTGGCCACATCACGTCCCATCAATCCTTTTCACAGCGTACATGCATGCGCTGCATCTAATACTGCATGATTTCATTATTGCCATGTGATGTTTTGAGAAGATGTGTGTGTTTGACTTGTCGTGATGTGATTGCATTGTGGTTGTGTTACATTATTATGTCATGCCTTCGCACCTGCAGCCATTGAGGCAGAGGTGTCCATGCCGCTTGCATGCAGATGCATGAACGGAGGAACGTGCTTTACTGATGAGGGAGGCCTGCCCAAGTGCAAGTGAGTGTGAACAAGTGTCTGACGCTCACCAAGGCTGCATTTATTTGATCCAAAATTAATGTTATTTTCAATATTGATGTATTTTATTTACATAATTTATATACAGTATACAAATGTCTGCTTTTCCAATGCCTTTTCTCTTTTTTCTTTTTAAATATATACATTTAATTTATAAATATATAACATTAAAAATGTATTTAATATGAAAATATATAAGTGAATTATTTAAATATTTAAAAATTAGGGCTGTGCAAAAATTAATTGCGATTAATCGCATCCAAAATAAAAGTCTGTGTTTACATAATAAATTTGTGTGTGCTGTATATAAGTATTTTGTATATATAAATACCTATGCATGCATGTATATATTTAAGAATTATTTGCGCTTAAATTCTGTATGTATATATATAAATTCATAATCTATATTATATAAATATAAATACTATTTTATATATGAATAACACATTTTCTTAAATATATACATGCATGTGTTTGTATTTATATATACAAAATAATTATATACAGCACACACAAATATATTATGTAAACACAGACTTTTATTTTGGATGCGATTAATCGCAATTAATTTTTGCACAGCCCTATTAAAAATATAATAAAAATAATTTATTAAACTAAGCTGTTAAACTGTTGCAACATTTGAACACGTGAACGTATGGCTATTGTATTTCATGACATTTTTTCTGGAAAAAAACTATTTACATTACAAAGGTACACAAGGTAAAAAATAATAAATAATTTTGGCCCCTATAAGGATATGGAAAAGGAAAATAATTATTTTAATTCCTTTTTTAGAGTGAAACTGGTGAAATGCAGTAAGTCTCAAATAGTAGGAAAAGAAGTCATTTTTCCAAAGAGATTTGAACCGAACTCTGGAGTGTGTCTAACAGATCAGTGTTTTTTCTCCTCAGGTGTCCATACGGTTACTCGGGGAGTTACTGTGAGATGGGGAAGTCTAGAGGCGCTCCTGCTGGGACAGGTACACACACTGTTATTGTTAATTAGTTAGGAGTAAACACCTCACACTGATGCTGTTAACTCTGATTTCAGAAGCTTTTCTTATTCCCAGCGAAGGAGCATGTACATGTCAAATGAAGTGTAATGAGACTGCACTAATATATCTTCCATATTGTGTGTGTTTGTAGCTGTGACCGTCCTGTTAGCAGTGGTTATTATTCTGATTACTGGAGCTCTGGTTGTGGGACTTTTCCTCAACTACAGGCGCACCGGCTCTCTCATCCCGTCAATGCCTAAACTACCGAGGTACAACGCAAACACGCCACTCGACTGCATACAGTAGAAATGTATTTGAACAATTGAGCCACACTTAGAAACACATGACTTCTCTTTAACCAACCGGTCTCGTGCTTTTAGTGGATATATGAACAGTACATCTATTGTGAATCTACTCACCAAGGCTGCCTTTATTTGATCAAAAATACTGTAAAACAATTTAAAATAAGTGTTTTCTATTTTAATATATTTTAATAATTTCTTCAGTCTCAAGATCCTTCACAAATCATTATACAATGCTGATTTGCTGTTCAAGAAACCGTGATTTCAGGCTTCTTCGATGAATAGAAAGTATTTATTTAGAATAGAAATCTTTTGTAACATTATATATCTTAATTGTCACTTTTCTTGAATTTAATACGTTCTGGCTGAATATAAGCAATAATTTCTTGTTTTGAATGGTATACATATACATGAATGGTTGATATTGATTTTTAATATTAAACCGTGAACTTTGCTAATAGCTTGTCACTATTACACAACATCAAAATTGCTAAAGATTTGATGGTTGCCGCCAATTAAAATTAATCTACTGTAGAGTTATGTCATTGAATATTCCTGATGTGACCCTGGATTGCAAAACCAGTCACAAGTAGCACGGCTATATTTTTCTTTTATGTCAAAAATCATTAGGATATTTAGTAAATATCTTGTTCCATGAAGATATTTTGTAAATATATAAAACATTACTTTTTATGAGTGAATGCAGCACATTCGCGAACATAAATGGACAACTTTAAAGACGATCTTCAGATAAGTGTATCTCGGCTAATTATTGCCCAATCCTAACAAACTATACATCAATGGAAAGCTTATTTATTCAGTTTTCGGATTCTGTATAAATCTAAATGACCCATGTGACTGGTTTTGTGGTCCAGGGTCACATTGCAATGAATTTGCTGGTGTTATCAAATTGTTATCAATTTTGCACTGCTTTTAAAGGGTTAGTTCACCCAAAAATGAAAATTAAGTCATTAATTACTCACCCCCATGCTGTACCAACCCCGTAAGACCTTCGTTCGTCTTCGGAACACAAATGAAGATATTTTTGATTAAATTTGAGAGCTGTATAACTACCACATTGGCTCCTAAGGGACTGCCTCTTGACGGCCCAGAAAGTCAATGAAGAAAATGTTTAAATATCCCAAGTGACTACCGTGGCTCAACTATATGTTTATCAAGCGACGCGAATACTTTTTGTGCGAAAAAACAAAAATAACGAGTTTATTCGACTATTTCTTTTCTTCCTTGTAGGCCAGAAACGAGACTTCCTTATAGATTTCCACGACGCATGCGCGAGAATTGCGATCTGCTTACACTACTTCAGATTGCAATTCTCGCGCATGCGTCGTGGAAATCTAAGGAAGTCTCGTAGTCCACGGTAGTCACTTGGGATATTTAAACATTTTCTTCATTGACTTTCTGGGCCGTCAAGAGGCAGTCCCTTAGGAGCCAATGTGGTAGTTATACAGCTCTCAAATTTAATCACAAATATCTTCATTTGTGTTCCGAAGACGAACGAAGGTCTTACGGGGTTGGTACAGCATGGGGGTGAGTAATTAATGACTTAATTTTCATTTTTGGGTGAACTAACCCTTTAATGTGCTTTTTATTTGGCTATGAAGTGTCCATGTCATAAGACTAAAATTAAGATCTTTCTGAGTCTCTGATTTAAACTTGAGTGGTGAAAGCACTGTGCAAGTTGCTTTAATTTCCTTTTTAAATAATTGCTTTTAAAAATTTTAGTTCACTTTAATGAAAATCATTTTTACTCACCCTCAAGTTGTTTCAAACCTGTGTGAATATCTTGCTTCTGCTGAAAAGAAAAGAAGATATTTTGAAGAATGTCGGTAACCAAACAGTTGACTTCCATAGTATTATTTTCCTATTATGGAAAATTATATGTCATTAAATATTAGATTTTTTTTAACATGTATTGTTATATTGATGCATATATTTTATTTATACGTATTATTCCAGTTATTAGGGCCCAAGCCCTGAAAGGGCGAAGGCCCTATTGTTTTCCTAAGGATTATTAGGGCCCAAGCCCTGAAAGGGCGAAGGCCCTATTGTTTTCCTTCCGATTATTAGGGCCCAAGCCCTGAAAGGGCGAAGGCCCTATTGTTTTCCTAAGGATTATTTATTAGGGCCCAAGCCCTGAAAGGGCGAAGGCCCTATTGTTTTCCTTCCGATTATTTTTTAGGGCCCAAGCCCTGAAAGGGCGAAGGCCCTATTGTTTTCCTTAGGATTATTATTATTATTATTATTATTATTATTTATACGACTATTCGGGCACTTTTGGGGCCCTTAACATGCTCAAAAACTCTTGAAACTTAGCACACGGGTCAGAACCCGCGGCCATCAGGGCCGGGCTGAAGATGGTACCCGGGCGTGGCAGGGGGCTAGACAGCGCCCCCTGGAACGGGGTCCGAAAACTTGGTCCATAAATCAAACACGCTTGCATGTAATAATATGAAACTCGGTGCACATATAGATCTCATCGTTCATATATACCTCATACTATTACTTTTTACCCCAGCCCAACAGGAAGTCGGTTATTTAGGGTTGTTCATAAAACACTCGCAATGGAATTTGAAGTACTACTCCTAGAGAATTCAAACTCACGGCACGAAACTCGGTCAGCATGAAGTCAAGGCATTGACGATGAAAGTTTGCGAGGGGATTTTTGATATCTCGAACGGTTTGGCCATGGTGAGGAAACGAAATTATGGCGAGAAACGTGAAACAGGAAGTGTGTTATAACTTCAGCATACATTAACTGATCTTGATGAAACTTCAGCAGTATGTTCGCTGTAAGAGGACGATCACATGGATGTGACTATTGTGAGTCAGAGTTATAGTGCCACCAACTGGCAGCAGGAAGTGTGTCACTTTCAAAATGCTTTGAACTCACCCTTTTATTTTTACCCGATGTGCTTCAAACTTAATCTGTATAATGTAAATACATAGCAGATGAAGACCTGTGAATGGATTCTTGATATCTTTGATACTGTTGCCGTGGCAACGCATCAAACTTTAAAATTCTTTTTTTTGATGATTTTGAGACTCTTAGCGGCTTTTGGGGCCCTTAACGGGTTTGAAAACTCTTGAAACTTTGCACACAGGTCAGATCCCACAGCCATCAGAGCCGGGCTGAAGATGGTACCTGGGTGTGGCAGGGGGGCTAGACAGCGCCCCCTGGAACGGGGTCCGAACACTTGGTCCATAAATCAAACACGCTTGCATGTAATAATATGAAACTCGGTACACATGTTGATCTCATCGTTTCATCTATACCTCACACTCTTACTTTTTACCCCAGCCAAACAGGAAATCGGCTATTGAGGTTTGTTTGTAAAACGCTCGCAATGGAATGTGCAATACTCCTCCTAGAGAATTCAAACACACGGCACGAAACTCGGTCAGCATGAAGTCAAGGCATTGAGGATGAAAGTTTGCAAGGGGATTTTTGATATCTCGAACGGTTTGGCCGTGGCGAGGAAACAAAATTATGGCGAGAAACGTGAAACAGGAAGTGTGTTATAACTTCAGCATACATTAACTGATCTTGATGAAACTTCAGCAGTGTGTTCACTGTAAGAGGCTGATTACATGGATGTGACTATTGTGAGTCAAAGTTATAGCGCCACCAACTGGCAGCAGGAAGTGTGTCACTTTCAAAATGCTTTGATATCACCCTCTTATTTTTAACCGATTTGCTTCAAACTTCATCTGTATAATGTAAAAATACAGCAGATGTAGACCTGTGAATGGATTCTTGATATCTTTGATACTGTTGCTGTGGCAACAAATCAAACTTTAACATTCTTTTTTGATACTTTTGGGACTCTTAGCATGCTTGAAATTGCTTGAAACAGATAGATACAGATAGCTCGACAGATACATCACATTTATTAGCCAGTAGGCATGTGCAACTTTGGCAAAAGATTAAAGTAATGTCAAAAAAGTAAACAGTAAACACTAAAAGCCTCATATCTTCTAAAAATGTAATTATACATCATTTGTTTCTAAATTAAAATATACAAATATTATAATTAAACCAGTTTTTCCCCTTTTTTCATTTAAGAATTATGTTTACGTTCAAAAACACGCCAGAATGGTTTTAAAATTCAGAAGAAGAAAAAATAATCTGAGTCATACGTAGTGCTATACTGCCCTCTTGTGTTCAATATCAGTTAGGCCTATTGTGTATATTCCCACCGGTTAATCAACGTGTGACTCCGCTGGGACTCGGGAACTTTTAAATCGCTTACTTAAAACCGAAAGTCAAAATACAGATATCCGCACAAGACATTAATGTTGTGGAGTAGAGCAAGCATTTTAAATAAATTCCTATTAAGTAGGATTGAACTAAACAGAATGAACGTTCACTCTGTTCTGCTGGTTCCTCGCTGTTGGCGCGCACAGTTATGAATGCTTGTGCAGCCATGAGTTTTAGTTTAATTTTAAAATTAGCGCAATTTCGGGATTTGTATTATTTGAATTTATTTTTAAAAAACACAATGTTGAGTTTTATTGTAATACTGTTTAATCGCGCCCACGGTTATATTTTGTATATTATAGGGCTGTATTCAACCAAAGAAATCCTTAGTCGACCAAAGTCGAGTCCTGCTCAACGATTAGTCGACTAAAAAGAAAAAAAAAGTGATGTTTTGATTAAACATTTTTTAAACAATTGTCATTGAGCATTTATAAAACAACAACGAAAAAACATCACAAATAAATAAAACTATAATAATAATACAATTCTTTGAAAATTAAGTGATTTTTTAACTGCAAAAAGTGAAGAGCTCTGTCAGGTCTATAGTACAGTCCCAATCGCGCACCTGACCACACCACACGCTGCAAAAAAATATAACTGCTATCTGCCACATAATGAAAAATCCCAACAAAAGCTCTCGTTTATACAGGCTTTATATTCTTCTTTACTTTCAAATCTATGGGTTAAC